TTGACAGAGAGAGACACAGCGAGAGAGGGAACACAAGCAAGGGGAGTGGGAGAGGGAGAAGCAGGCTTCCTGCAGAGCAGGGAGCCCGATGCGGGGCCCAATCCCAGGACCCTGGGATCATGACCTGAGCCGAAGGCAGACGCTTAACGACTGAGCCACCCAGGCGCTCCGATAATAGAGATTCTTGTTGATGACACTAGACCCCATCTAATCCTTCTTTTTTCCCTGTAAACCAAAAATAGATATGCAGTCAGGGCAGTGATCAATTTGAGTAGTGAGAACAGGAGCCATTTTACCCTAGATCACTGCTTGTCCCTTTGCAGCAGAACACCTACATACAGCACAGTCTTGTAGTTGGAGCTTCAGCATTTGCCCCTCCTCTCTTCTCTCTTGTTACCTGTCTTCAGTGGCGCCTCTCCTAATTATCTCTTAGCTCACAAGGAAATCTCTTTTCTACCATATGACTGCTCTTTGAAGTAGCATCTGCACTCAGAGCTACAGAAGCTCAGAAGCCCGGTGATTTCAGCCCTGCTTTGCTCTAATGGGTTTAATCTGGTCCTCACTTAGAAAAGTAGCCTGGCTTCCACTCTTCCACTGTATTAAATTTGGTGCCAGGATAATAGTATGGAGCAGAGCCCTACCTTTTAGTTTCAGCCTAATTCATTCTCTAATATAGGAGTAGAATTATTTTATTTTTTGCGTTTGCTTCGTTGATGAGCATAATGTTTCAGTGCTTAGTGTTCTAGAAACGACTGGGTATAACTTTGCCTCTTAGAACAGATTCTGATAAATTGCCTGGAAAAATGATCAAAGCCACGAATAGTACAGTGCCTCAGCAGGTGAGCCTATGGTTGGTGTTCCTAGCCTGACTTTTTTTTTTTTTTAAAGATTTTATTTATTTATTTGACAGAGAGACACAGTGAGAGAGGGAACACGAGCAGGGGCAGGGGGAGAGGGAGAGGGAAAAGCAGGCTTTCCGCAGAGCAGGGAGCCTGATGCGGGGCTCGATCCCAGGACCCTGGGATAGTGACCTGAGCCAAAGGCAGACGCTTAATGACTGAGCCACCCAGGCACCCCGACTTTTTCTTTTTTTTAAGCACTTTTTAGGTATTAACACTTTGTGATCTGATTCT